CAAAACAAAAAACCCACCCTGGTTGCTTTTGAATTCATGCAAATTCATGCATGTTTCATTGCAATAGCTGTATTTCATTTCATTCATTTCATGCCCTAGAATTACACCAGAAGAACTCACTGTTCCTCTTGCCACCATCATATGTCTTCAGTAGAAATCAATTTGTCAGATCGTGTGTAAAACAGAAGAGAGATTTCAAGCCTTATTAAAGCTCACTGAATTCCCTGGAATGACCTCCCCTTGTTTCTGAGAGCATTAGATCTTTAGCATCTTGTCTCACTTCTTGTACCTGTAAAAACTCTAGAGTAATTTGCAGAGAAAAGTTGAGTTTGTCAGCAAACTACTTTCACAGCCCAGTGAAAACATACTGAAAGGCTGTTGTTGTACTTGGCATGCAGAGACTGACTCTGAAGAGTCTTCTTCTTCCTATCTCTAAATGGTACGGAAAAAAATAGCACAGAGCTCTAAACCTTTCATAGGAAAAGTAAGGGCAAAATTAGCTAGGAATCCACAAATCTTTTTAAAAACAAAGTTCAGAATATTATCATAACTTTCACAATCAAGCTGAATTATCAATCAAACTGTGCTACAGCCAAGTTATGTCGATCAGCTTACTTGTGTAATATTTCACAGTGCTTCACAAAATGTCTCCATGCTGCTTGTAATTCCCAAATCCTCATGTGGTCTGCAGGATTCCTGCCCTGTATTGAAGTCTATTTCATTCCATTAAAACGATAAGATACTAAGTCACATTAATTTGCATAGTGCCAACCTGTTTCAAAATATCCATTCTATTATTTCTCTTTCTTAGCTTTTAAGCTATAAGCAACAACAATAAATGTTTCAATGTCTTCAGCATCTTGTTTTAAACCCTTGATTAATGAGGTGGAATAGCTGCATAGTGTTGATAATTTATGTGGAAATAAATGATAAAAACAGGATGATGTGGACTGGACTCCTCAGATAATAAAGTCAGGTTGTGTCCAGCTACTCTTACGTATTCCAAATAGAAAGGAAGAGTATGCAAGGTCACAGAGAAAATTTCCTTGATCTCTATGTGTCTCTTTCTTTAAAAAAAATACATCAATTTTCCTAGCTGCTATCTGATTTTACCAGTGAATATAAGAAAACAAAATTGGTATGTGTCAGACTCTGTGAAGAAAAGAGCTGGCTTCTCCCTGCTGACTTCTCACTCTTGCAAAAAGTTCCTTTTTATGATCTACAACAGCATTTCAAGATCTCTGGATGTGTGACTACAAATTAACTTGCAACCACGCAGTTTGGAATCTTGGAGGCTCCTTGCCCAGTGTAGAACCATCATGTAGGCTTACTAAGCCTTGAAGAAATCTTTAGTTTTGCAGAAAGACTCTAAACTTTTCTAAGATAACCCTCCATGTGCATTTGGGAGGACTTACAGAACATTCCAGTTCTTCCGGCATTCATTATTTCAATAGCCATCAGGATACCTATCATATCTCCAAAGACTGAACTCATGGTGTCATTGACATGGAGCTATGGATTTTGACAATTCATCTTAGGACTTTGTATCTCCCAAGATTCTCATTCAAAGAGAATATTAGGTATCTGATATGCCGGGGAAATGCTATTGTTCACATATGGATATAAACACATGCTTGTCACAAGCATAGAATCCACTTGCTGGAATATTCATCTCAAACCTGAACACCTGACACCAAAAGCAGTGTTAAAAGCAGAAAAGTACCAACACATGGTACAGAATCTCATGCCTCCAAATCCCATTTCAGTACCATGGGTCTGAAAGTCTTTAAAGTCATGACCCAGACTTTGAGCCTCAAAGCATGGAAACTGCTCAAAAACAGTGACATTTTTCAAAAATACTGAATCTAAATGAATTCCACTTCACTGAAGAGCTCCTAATCAGCTCTTTCCCTAATTTCTACATTAGGAGTAGACTGTGAGACTAGGATTCATCTGATTAAATGTAGATCTCTGTAGTCCAGAGTCTGTATCTGTGCCAGATGCCCTCTCTCTCCATTGAATTTAAAGGGAATCCAAGGAGGTTACCTCAGATGGAGCTGTTTGCATTGTAGACAATTAAAATTAGGTCAGAAAAATCTCATCCCCAGCCACAGTGAATCTGCTTTGTGTCAGCTGCTGAACAGGAAAGAACAATATTTTCACTTAATTATCACTTAATGGAGACAATCTGCTCCATTACGGTCAGTTAGAGTCAGCTTCTCTGGAGTCCCATAAAATTTCGGTAACTGTGTTTATTTAAAGAGTTCTCACTTACATATTTGGATGTCAAGAATGACTAATATATCAAATCTCCAGCATAGCCAAAAATAATGTAGGATTTCCAAAATCATTTGCTTAAAAAAAGCAATCCCTGCATCAGAATAGAACTGATATGTAGCCTTGGACCAATAAAATAAAATAAAATCACCAATATTACGATATCAAACTATATTCACAATTTTTCACTGACAAACAACTTCTGCACTACTCTGTTCCACTAGCAATCTTTAATAGGTCAGTATTTCTCTTAACATCAACTTTATAAATATATTTCATTTTCAGAGAAGAAGGAACTGGTTGGAATAAGAGTGTGGCTTTTCATTCACAAAACAAAAGATCTATGCCAAAGCATTAGACAGCATTTATTTTTCAGTCTGTACATAATTCTATATTTCCATCAGTGCTACCAAAGTATGTGATGCTGAACAACAGTTTTACAGAGAATAGCCCTGTTGCATTTATGACAGTTCATGTCTTTGGCAGTTGTAAATCATGGAGTACTTCAGCAGAAGGCTTTAATGAACTTACAGCCTTTAAGTATTTATTTTATTGATCAGCCCAACCTACTCCTCCTCTAAGCATATTTTAAAGGAAATATTTAACTGCAATGAATTAGAAAAGGTTTTGTCTAGTTATGTCATTGTATTCTATTTATATAAAGCTTTTTTTATTATTATCATTTTATTTTATTTTATTTTATTTTATTTTATTTTATTTTATTTTATTTTATTTTATTTTATTAAATTTGAAGCTTTTTATCCATGCAGCAGTCTGCCTTCTGAGTGACAGGAGTCATCCCAGTGTCAAGGTCGCTTAATAAAAATTGGCAAGGTTCTGTTCATTAACAACAAGGCTTAGGGATCATACCTCTGTTGCAAGTCTTTGGCTCCAGGTCTCTTCTGAGCACCGCCACAGGCTCCTGTGGCACACTGAATTTTACGTGCTGTTCCGCGGTTTGAGCAGGACCAATTCAAAGCAGCATTTGAAATGTGATGAGTACGTTACAGCCCACAAAACCACTGCTTTTATGACCTGATGATTCTCAAGATGTTGTGCCTAAAGCATAGCAAAAGACCAAGCAAGAATATTTGCAAGTACACGGACTACATGTTGAATGCCGGAGGGTACTCTGGAGGGGAGAACCAGATCTTCTATAGTCTTGTTTGTACTCTGTGACAGGAGTGTGCAGCCCTTTGAAAAGTAGATGGTTAAGGCTTTGCACAGGCTGCAACTGGCAGGCATTTATGAGCCTGCCTAGTAAATCTGTGAAGGTATATTCCCACTGTGATGGTGCTTGGGCAAAAAGTAGGAGCAGTGGACATGTAATGGATGTTCCTACAATTATGCAGGCAGGTTAAATAGTGATGATGATGTGTTTGAAAAAGAACAGTATGAACATAAAAGTTGCTGGATCTTTTAGATTATTCAGATTCTTCTGAGGCTCCTGATTTCTGATGATAACTTGCAGAAACAACATGGGAATATGTGTCTGAGATCTGATGGGACAAGGTAGAGAAGAAGGGAATTTTTCCTTTGAGAAGCAATCAGGAGACAAAATGACTTAATCCAAAACACTACACAATCAAACTGTACCCTCCCATTTGACCTCCTTTATTCTTACAGTCAACACTGAGACAAAACTTCAAGGTTCAAAGTCAGCTAAGCTGTGACTTAAAGTGATGTGGATCCTGCATGAAATCTGTTCGATACTTTCTAAAAGAACATATGATTAGCAGCTGAAGGAAAGCCATGATGAATTAACTGTATCTCAACATCCATATGTTATAGGCTGGCCTTAATTGCTGTAAATGTCTCTTCAATGAGCACAAAAGCAGGAAATTCTCTTAAGCAAATAATTAACAGAAAAAATGTAAAAACTCTACTGGCATTACAAAAAGATCTGTCGGCAGTATGCAGTATGCCTTTAGAGGCATTGTTGTTTATGTGTTTTATCATTCCATATAATGCAGAGCAAAGCAGCTCTTCTTTGCAAACATATGTAATAAATCACATTTTGTATGTATGCAATATGAATCCATACAGTAAATACAATATTTGGAGTAGGCTCTTCAAAGAGATTTTACAGTTTGCAGCACTCAGGAGTCTCCACACAGTTGTTTCTGAAGCTGTTGAATTGAGGTCGTGTCAGACAACTTGCAAGATTTCCCACTGTTTTGCACACCTGAACAGAGTTTCTATTCCTTTAGACCCCAAAGAAAGAAATCAGCAAAATATTTTTGATGTAAAGAAACTGTTCTTTCCTATAGGAAAGGCAGACTTTACTTCAGCTTTGGCAGCAAACAATAGAAATTCTATCCCTTACAGTGTTTGTTTCAATTTAAATGAATTAATGAGTTGGCTTGGCTCCTGCAATCTCCAGTTGAACTCTATTGTGGTAGATAATGAGGACAGGGTTGGCAGTAGTGACTGGTTTTGAGACCTTCGTTATACTTATTAGGATATGATGGAAAAGGGGATTGAAGAAAGCCAAAGAAAATTCCCTTGTACAAGCAGATTAGTTATTTTTTCCTGAAAAGTTAATTCCAGAAACAGTAATTGAAAAATAAAATTTCACCTGATTAGATATGTAATTTAGAGCACTCATCCACCTTCCCTATGTTAAAGTAAGGAAGTTCAATCTAGTGTGAGATAAGTGTCTAGAATAGTTGCAGACGTTTTTATTTAGTGTTCATGCTTAATGAATTATGTTCTATTTACAGGCTTTATCTGGGGTGAAATTAAACAGATGTGGGATGGTGGACTACAGGACTACATTCATGATTGGTGGAACCTCATGGATTTTGTAATGAACTCCTTGTACTTAGCAACAATCTCTTTGAAAATTGTTGCATTTTCAAAGGTAACTTTATTTTTATTATTTATTTCAGCAAAATATTTAAGGTAACAAATTAGGCTTCTTTTCTTCTGTACGTGATGTGCTTGTAACTTGATGGGTTTCAGGCTGAACAATGTAAAAGATGCTTAATTTGCTCATGAATCTTCTGCTATGAGAAGAAGTTAGACCAGAATAAGAGCAAACAAAAGATTACAGCTTATTTTTTTTTTCCTCCTTGGCTCAGGCAATCTTTTTTTTTTTTTTTTCCCTTTCTATTTATTTATTTATTTTAATCCTTAACAGTTATTTTACTATAATACTATAATATTTTTCAAAAAGGCAAATCACCTCTAATACTTAATATTGTTTGTACAGTGTTAAGTTTTATTTTATTTAGTCTTTGCCTATTTTTCAGTAAGAAGTTACCATCTCCAAGAAAATTTTATGTACCATGCAAAACTAGAGGACAGGACTGCATGGAAAGTATTATTTGAAATTAGGGAGAAAAATTGCTGAAGAACAAGATTTTAGTTTTTTTTATCTAAAAAATCACAAGTGCAACTTGATTAGAAATTAAAACTGAATGGCATAATACGATCATGTAACATTGGATATATTCATTTTCTCACCTATTTCATGGACTTTCTATTAGCACTGCTTGAAATTTCTTCCAATAAAGCAGTCTTTCTTTGCGAAATCATGTAACATGTCACATTTCCTATGTATTCAACGTAAATCCATAATACAACAGCATTGCTTCTAAAGATGAAATATTTGCATTACAAATGGTTTCAAATGCAAGGAAACCACAGCTGAAAAGAAATGAAAGCATTTCTTAGCATCTGTCTCAAAGATCTTGTCACATCCAAGATAACAAGCCCATTTTTACTGGCTGCTCTCATCAGCATTGTACTTTTGCTGTTTCGAGTTCCCTGTCACCATCTACCCCATATATATGGAAGCAGTCTCTGAACTGCCAAGGTCCTTTTGGCTGGAAGAAAATAGGAAACAGCCATCAAGTATCTGGTTACTGTCCCCAAACTGCAGCTGTTCCTATGGCAGCCCTGCCATTTGTATAGAGCAACATAGGAAACTCTTATTTATGTCATCTGATGATTATCCACAAGTGTATAAATGTGAGCTAATCAGAGGCAGAGACAAGCAAAGACGTGATCAACAGGCACAACAGCCTCCTCCTATCACAGAAGGTTTCTGACTGCGAATTCTTGGAAATCTACACAATAAAAGAAATTTTGACGTGTTGCCTGAAAGAGAAAAAGGCTCAAATGTGTGGGAAGAGATGTCATTTAAAGTTGGTGGATGGGCAAGGTTTTCTCATCATAAAGTGACTGGAATATAAAGTCATTCCAGCATTCCACCATTCCAGGTAGCAAAGCAAGTAATTCACTGAAAATGCATGTTTCCAAAGCACTAATATTAATTAGAAGATATTATAATTATTTAATCCCAGATAGTTTCTGCTTATGGTAATCAGATTCCAAGATGAAAGCATCTATGTTAATGTGCAACCATCGCTCTCCCAATTAGAGCTTGCATGCCAATCATAATCATCACAGTTCATAAAGCACTATCTTTGGCTCTGCAGCTAATTTTTTTTTTATTATTGCATATGCAATGTTGCACCCAGATAACTATCCTGTACTTTTAAAGAGCCTCAGTTTTGGTAGACAATCAAAACAACGTATGTAAAATGATGTAACGAACCAAGCAATGCAAGTGTAACTTACTTCCTTCAGACACCTGCAATAGGGTTCCCCAGCTCTGAGTGTGGGTTGAGAGGATTCCAAACATAACCAGAACATTTTGATACAAGACTTTTGCTTTCATTTTCCTAAATGTTTCAATACAGGTTTTTCTAATATACAGCTTTCCTGTATTTCTCTTTTATCAAATCACTATGCTAATATTTTAGATGCATCTTACCTTCTTTGAATCACTGCAGTATCTCAAGCTGCGTAAGAAGCCATTTTAACCAACTCCTTTGAATCAAAGGGTGAGAGTGTCATAGAATCATAGAACCATAGAATGGTTTGGGTTGGAAGAGACTTTAAGATCACCTATTCCAACCCTCCTGCTATGGGAGGGACACCTCCCACTAGACCAGGTTGCTCAAAGCCCCATCTACCCTGGCCTTGAATGTTTCTATGTAGGGGGCATTCAGCACTTCACTGTGCAACCTGTTCCAGTGTCTCACCACACTCACAGTAAAGAATTTCTTACTAATATCTAGTCTAAATCTGTCCCCTCCTCTGGACCCTCTCCAACAGCTCTGTGTCCTTATGTTGGGGGACCCAGAATTGGACACAGCATTCCAGGTGGGATCTCATGAGAGCAGAGTAGGGAGGCAGATCATCTCCCTTGACCTGCTGGTCACATTTCTCTTCATGCAAGCCAGGATACAGTTGGTCTTCTGGACTGTAAGAGGACATTGATGGTCATGTTGAATCTCTCATCAATCAACACTCCCAAATCCTTCTCCTCAGGTCTGCTCTCAAGCCATTCTCCTCCCTGTATTTGTGCTTGGGATTTCCCCAACCCAGGTGCAGGACCTTGCGCTTGTCCTTGTTGAACTTCGTGAGGTTGACACGGGCCCACTTCTGAAGCCTGTCTAGGTCCCTCTGGATGGCATCCCTTTCCTCTAGCTTGATAACTGCACCACTCAGCTTGGCTTCATCTGCAAACTTGCTGAGGGTGCACTTGATCCCACTGTCTATGTCACCTACAAAGATAGCAAATAACACTGGTCCCAGCACTAATCCCTGAGGAATGCCACTCATCACCAGTCTCCACTTTGACACTGAGCCATTGAGTGCAGCTCTCTGAGTGCGACCATCCAGCCAGTTCCTTATCCAACGAGTGGTCCATCCATCAAATCAATTTTTCTCCAATTTGCAACCAGGACATCACAAGGAACAGTGTCTAACACTTTGCACAAGTCCAGGTAGATGACATCAGTTGTTATTCCTTTGTCTACTGACACTGTATCTCCATCATAAAAGGCCTCCGAGTTTGTCAGGCATGACTTGCTCTTGGTGAAGCCAATGGTTACCACCAATCACCTCATCTTTATTTTTCATATGCCTTATTAGGGCCTTCAGGAGGATCTGCCCCATGATCTTACCAGGCACAGAGGTGAGACTGACTGGCCTGTAGTTCCTTGGATAATCTCTTGTTCTGTTCTTGTAAATGGAGGTTATGTTTCCCCTTTTCCAACCAGTGGGAACTTCATCAGACCTTTTGAATATGATGGACAGTGGCTTGACAAATTCATCTGCCAGTTCTCTCAGAAACTGTGGACAGATATTCCTGGATCCCATGGACTTGTGTACCTTCAGGTTCTTTAGACTGTCACAAAGTTGATCTTCACTTACAGCAGGTGGATCTTCCTTCTCCCTTTCCTTTCTGCAGCTTGGGCTAGAGCCCTTGCTGGTGAAGACTGAGGCAAAGAAGTCATTGAGCACCTCAGCCTTCTCCATATCCCTTGTGACCAGGTCTCCATTTTCCTTCCAGAGAGGGCCCACATCTTCCCTGTCCTTCCTTTTATCACTGATATACATATAGAATTTATTCTTGCTCCTCTTAATGTCCCTGGCTACATGTAATTCTTTCTGAGTTTTAGCTTTCTTTACCTGGACACTCGCTGCTCAGACAGCTTCTTTGTATTCCTCCCAGGTAATTCATTCCTGCTTCCACTCTCTGTAGACCTTCTTTTTGTGCTTAAGTAAGTTCACGAGCTCTAGTTGACCTACGGAGGCCTTCTGGCATTCTTGCCTGCCTTCCTTTTTCTTGGGAATATCTCTTGTGTGATAGATGTTCCTAGAATAAAACTTACTGTTCATTGCCTATTTGAGGCTCTCTGAGTGATGTACTGATTAAATGGATGGTTATTATTTACAACAGGTGATATCATAGTGTAAAATTCACAAAAGATTGTTGAAAATTCACCAAAGAGTGCTCAGGATGGGCAAACTGCTAAGACATCTGCTTCACTTTCAGTATTCAGAAAAAAAAATAATGCGTACCTCTCATATTTTTCAAAAGGCTATGCTCTTTGCCTCTAATTGTATATCAGTGTGCAAGGTCTTTAAACTGTTACACCCACTGAAAATGCTCTCTTCCTGATAAATAACAGCATGATAAATAGTGGTGAAAAATAAAGTTGTTACATTTTACATGAGTACAGGATGACTAAATTTAAGCAACACATCTGATATGATTGAGGCTTATAGATATAAACAGAAGAGGTTGTGCTCTAAGAAGAATGGTTGCTTTTATGTTTTTTGAAGAGTATTTATTTCATAATGGTATATCAAATGATGTACAATGCCAAGTCATGTGTGAAACCTGTTTGATTTATCTTAAATATTTTCTAAACTTGAACACTGGACCAAGTGCTCTCCATTCCCAGTTCTGCTAGAGAATGCATGCAGATTCACGTTACTGATTGTATGAGTCCCAGTCTCCAACATAAACCTCTAGTAGGAAAACATATTCCTGTTCAAGGCAAGAACTCTGAAAAGTAATTGAAAATGTGTTTTTATCTCCACATTTATTATCTTAATGATCACCATGTCAGATACACTCTGCTTAGTAGCAAATGAGATACTTATGCCACCAATTCTGCAGAAGTGGATATTTTTTTAACTCCTTGCATTGTAAAATGTTTTTGATAAGTGTTTAACCAGTTTCATAGACTAAATACTTATTTAAATGAGTATTAACTGCTCATAAGAAAAATTCCAGAGTGTAAGTATTGTTATAATGCTCTCTGCTAGCTCCATCTCCACTTTCCACTTATGCTCTGAACTGTAGCAAAATAAATGTAAGGAGTAGGGCATACATTTTGAAGAGCAAGAGTTCACATGAACATATGGTCTTTTGAGAAAGGATTTAAAGGTGTGGGCTGTTTGTTTTGTTTTGTTTTTTTGTTTTGTTTGTTTTGTTTTGTTTTGTTTTCCCCTCAAGTGGATAAACATATTTAATTTCTACTGCTGTTATTAGAAACAAGTGAATCGTATTTGACCAAGGTCCAAGAGCCCATTCAACGTTGAGATGACCTGATCTACTTTTGTATTTGATCTCTCTTGGTAATTTCATGAGCTACAGTTCATTACTTTCAGCCTAAGGGGACAACAGTGATCATCTTGCATTTTTCTGTCCAATAGATCAGATGATACAACTTAATTCCTCTGAATAATGACCAAGAATTGTTACTTTGTATTCTTAGTGATATCATACATTCATCATACATTTTCTTTGTTGCTCGACAGTTTATATACTCTAACCACTTTCCATATCCTAGTACAGAACTGTAAAACTTCAACAAGGAAATGTCAGAGAAGAAATAACTTTCTTCCTCTCCAAAGCATTATAATCTGGCTTCATAGAGAAGAGGATAGTGTAATGAAGAGTGTGATGGCCTATGACTCTTAGGAGGAATGGATTTAATTCCCTACTCTGTAGAAAATCAGTTTCATTGATGGATGAAAGAAAAGGCAGAGTGATTCTTAACTATTCAGTGTACAGTTATTCTCCAGTTTTGCAGTTCTCATCCCCCACAGTGTAAGGTTGCCAGATGCTGTCAGTAAATCAAAATGCCAGGGGTTGTTTTGGGGCACTGGTACGGCCTCTGCTGCTCTACTAGCTGAAAAAAAGGAATTCCAGCATGGTAATAGGATCCTGCCCCAACAAGCATTACTACGGAAAATGTTTAGATCAAGAGCAGTCCTGTTCTGTGGATACTGAACATGCAGTGGAAATGTGATGAATGGCTATACTGTTATATATAGCCACAACTGACAGGAAGTGTTCCTTTCCTTACCAATGAAGACATGCTGAACATCTCTGAAGGATGTGTCTGGGTGGCCCAGAGTAGATATATACAGACTGCATCATAGCCTGTCTTTATATCTGCTTCGCATTATACTATTGCATAGTTTTAGAGGGCTTCATAGCTTAGATTCTGTCCTCTGATACATCTTGTAAAGCAGATTAATGAGACCCAGTAAATAATGAGTTTGCCACAGTAGTTAAGCATTAGCTGAAAGTAACATCTTTCATCTTCAGTAAATGTTTTGGTAGAACTGGAACAGTGAAGAATCGCATTTCCAAGGATCAGACTCATTATCAAAGAGATACATAAGCAGTTTGCCATGGTCCATCATTTGTAAATGTTAGTGATTAAGCAACATTTTTATTCCTTGGTTAAATATTTTATTCCAACTTTTTCAAAGTTTTTGTGAATTTCATGCATAATTGTTATTATTACTTCATCAGAATTGTTAGAAATTATTTTCTTCTGTAAAAGTCATAATCAAATGCAAAATGCAGTGAAAAACAAGAAAGTTTAGAGTGTCCCAAAGATGAAAATGTAGAATGAATACTCAGAGACCATCCATTTTTGTTTAAAAAACACTCAAACAGACATAACACCTTCCAAAATACATTCATTTTTATTGTACTCTCAGCAAATTTATGGGATGGCTCATAAAGAAACAGACACTTGTTTGTTCATATAAACAGACGAGTAATTTTTCTTTTCCCTTCTGCTTGTTTTCAGTATAGCGGGTTGGTTCCACGACAGAGCTGGGATATGTGGCATCCAACCCTGGTGGCTGAGGCACTGTTTGCAATTGCAAACATCTTTAGCTCCTTACGCTTGATCTCATTATTCACTGCAAATTCTCACCTGGGACCTCTGCAGATATCTCTAGGAAGAATGCTGCTGGACATTTTGAAATTTCTCTTCATATACTGCCTTGTGCTGCTAGCATTTGCAAATGGATTGAACCAGCTGTACTTCTACTATGAGACACAAGAAACCAAGTGCAAAGGGATACGATGTGCAGAGCAGAATAATGCATTTTCAACGTAAGTGACTTATCTACTTCTATCTATTTCTGTCTTTTTGTTCTCTTTTGGTGTCTTTTTGGTCAGTGGAATCCTGACAGACACTCCTAAAGTTACCCTAATAAAAAATAAATGCAGTTAACATTGCATCAGTGTATAATAACGTTCATCCTATTCTGCAGCGAAGTCTGTATAACCCAAGATATATTAGGAGATAAACAGAATAAAAAAGAAGGGGAAGATATTGTGAGATTAGAAAGTACATATTTAGAATTAAGTGATAAAAGATCACCGGGTCAGAGCTTTCTTATCTAGGCAGCTGTTGCTTTGCAATTTTTCTATATCTACCTGTGAGCATTAAATAAGTCTGGAGTTGTAAAAGATAAAGATTCCTTGTAATTGTGATAAACTCAAGAAGGAAAAAAAAATCAGTCCAGACTTCCACAGACACAGAGTCCATTCCACACATTCAAATTTGTATTCTAATTTATACTTTAACATTTTTTTACTTTTTCTTTCACTTAAAAATCGATTTTACTTCACTTTGTTCTTTAATTCACTCATAGCACCTAAACACTATCAAATGAATACTCTCCATCTCTTTTCCCATCTAGATTGAACCCCTACAATAAAAAATTCCCTGTTATCTTCTATGAATCACATTTAGGCTGCTTTTAAGAAATGTTTAATATCAATGGCATCCTTCTTAAATACATATATTTTAAATAACACCTTTTGTTTCATCTTAATCAAGTAACTGCCCAAGCACAGCATATTTATGATCTTGCACATTAATAACATCTTACGCAGGTCTAAACTCCAACTTTTGAGTGGGCATGGGTATGTTGTCTGAATAGAAAAAGACGGGGGACGTTTTCAGAGCTGATCATGGGAGGAAACAATATTTTTCAATATTGTCATCTAGCTTCCTGTCTGCTGCCCTAAATTTCTCCAAGTATTATGTCAATTAGCTGCAAAAGCACATGTAATTTGAGAGTGGCATGTCTTTTTAATGTCTGTATTCTTTAAAAAAAAACAAATGTCTGCTAAAGATACAAATGCCCTTGTAACTATACTTCATTTTTTGTCTCAGTGGCTCTCAACAAGTAAAAATGGCATAAGTTGATATCATCAAACAAATACGAGCATACCATAATTACTTTAACATATTGCTAAAACACAGTCAGTAAATTACTTTTGGATCCTTGCTCCATCCTCTAAATTCAAGGCACAGAGACAAAATTCTTCAAAGACAGATGTCCAAAATAATATCTCTAAAATATATCCTTTGGAGGTTTGAACAGACTCAGTCTTGTACATACAGGCTTACTTATTTTGTTACTGTTTTGGATATCTATAGGTTCAGATCTGAAACATTTAGGTAATGTTTCTCCAGAACAGTATTCTATATATATTGCCTTTATTGTAATGAGCACCATCCACCTTAGTCAAGTGAAGGATTTTGTGTGTCTTGGGAAAAACTGAATGATCTGAAAAGTATATGTGTTAGTATTAAACAGCTTTTCCTCTTGGGCTTTGTCTTTCAGATTATTTGAAACGCTGCAGTCATTATTCTGGTCAATATTTGGACTCATCAATCTATATGTGACCAATGTGCAACCAAAGCATGAATTTACTGAATTTGTTGGGGCCACCATGTTTGGTACCTATAATGTAATCTCTCTGGTTGTTCTACTCAACATGCTAATAGCCATGATGAATAATTCTTACCAGCTTATTGCTGTAAGTTGTTTATTTATAATATATACTTTCTGTTCCTACACCCCCACTTTTTTTTTTTTTTTTTTTTTGGCAGTAAATCTATTTTAAGTATAGAATATAGATTTGTTCTAATTATTTTGTGCTGTTGAGGAAGGGCACAGAAATTAGACCACAACTGTACTGGAACAGGGGTGAATTTTCCCAAAACTCAGAATGGGAAAGAGGTGACCCTACCACAGAAGCCAACTAGTGGGTAGAGAAGAGTGCCTTGGATCTGCCAGCAAATGGCACAGGCTTCAGCACTGCCCAAACTACACTGTGTAAGGCTTGTCTCAAGAAAGAGACTCTGCTACAGATTGTTCAGTTCCTACTTTATTTTTCACACATTGATTAACCTTTATAACATTGTTATTTTTGGATTCTTGTACAACACAAATATACAGTGAATAGAAATTAATTGCTCGAATTTCACATATAATTTTGGACTCATTAACAAGCAAAACAAAAGGTCAGGACTCCTCGTTAAGCAGTGTATTTTTTCTCGTTTCATGAAAACTGTTTATCCTTATCAGAGCTGTTGGCTTATTTTTAATTCTCAGGTGACTATTAATGAGACTAATGAAATTCAAGGCTGATACATTGTATGATAATTCATATATAGTAATGCAAAAAGCAAACAAATAGAAGAAAGCCTCATATTCTTAAGATTTTTAAACATTTCTTTTTTTTTTCTCCTGAAGTTGATATTTAATGACTACATATGTTTAACAGAAGTTGTAGTAGTCATAGTTAGTATATAGTTATACACAACACCATGGCATACTAACATTCACAAGAACACATATTGCAGGCAGAATACTTTTCTCCAAGAATGTCTTAATAACTGTTTTGATTGTAAGTATATACGGCTAAATATTAAAGTTTGGGTTGCATCAGTGGTTGAAGTTCTTGGTGTCTGTGTCTGTTGTCCAAATCAAACATTATTACTTTACATTTCTTGTTCTGCTGCTAAGATTTTGCAACTTTTTCAAGCCATGGGTTTTGATTATTTTTTTAAATTATGCAATATTATATCATATCCAAAAGAAATAAAATTTCAAACTAAAAATCAAAACACCAACAACGAATTGCAAATATTTAATTTTGAAGTAGGAGAAAGAGAAGGTTGTACAACTCATCAGATTGAAGCAGCCTCACCATTTGTGGATAACCTATTTGTGAATTTCTGGGGCTGGCAGCTGAGAGTGCATGAGACTTGCAGACTTGTTGAAGCAGCTACACAACAGAGTAATTAGAATGATCTATGTGGAATAATGATGAGCTGCTATTGTAACAAAACATCTCTATCAGAAATGTAGCATTTTTTCTGCTTGTAATTATCCTTTCTTGTTTGAGTGATTGTTAATTATTTAAAAGCCTGTAGCTAAGCAAAAAAGGTTGAAAGCAAATATATACTGTATGTATCAAATATCTCTACTGGAGTAAATCAGCTTAGGTTTTCTTTGTGTTAAAGACCTTCTTTCAGAAGAAGGGACAAGAAAATTCATTAGTGTTCCGGGATTGTTCTAACTTTAGGTTCAGATTTCCCAGTGGTTTGTTTCACCTTTTTTTGTTACAGCAACAAGTGTGTGCTTCTGTTGTGTTTCTTCTGCACAGGATCATGCAGACATTGAGTGGAAGTTTGCTCGGACAAAACTCTGGATGAGTTACTTTGAAGAGGGAGGGACTCTACCCACTCCTTTCAATGTCATTCCAAGCCCTAAGTCCCTCTGGTATTTGATTAGGTGGTTATGGAGACACCTGTGCAAGAAAAAAATTAGAAGAAAACCTGAAAGTTTTGGAACAATAGGGGTAAGTCTTATGCCCTACTCTGTTTTTAGTCCTCCTCTTTTCTATACAGTAAAGTATTTCTCAGCTTTGTCAGAGAATAGAGGCCTCTAAAATGTCTAGTACTGTGGATAGGAATTACATAATAATTCTCACAGAGAATTAAGGTGCTGTTTTTTTTAAGATCCAAGTCAATGTATTTGACTAAAGAGAAAGCATCATTGGATTTCTGCACAGCAGTATGAACCACGATGATGCTTCATCTAACGATAGTGCAATAAAGATTAAAAGCAATACAAACATCAAGGAACATTTGTCTATCAGTCTCAGAGTTCTAGATGATGCTACAAGTATTACGATTCAAGTACCATTGACATATCATAAACCACAGAACTGTGTATAAACTACCTTGGTATATCCTTTGTATCTCTTTGTCTTTATAAGTGTCTTGAAATGAGTTTACCATAAAAGCATTCTTACCAACAGCTGTTTCCATTAAAGAAAACATTTTGAAATGTAGCCACTTACTGGGAATTGCTTACTTGAATTTACAAGTTATTTCAGAATCATGTTACTATCCTGTTCTATTAGCACTCATTAGAAGTAGAAATGTCTACAGGGAAAAAAGAAGAAAAAAAGAAAAAAGAAAAAAAAAGGAGAAAGATGCATGAAGGTTTCAGCTAGGATAGAGTTAATTTCCTTCATAGTGATTTGTTGTGTCGTGGCTTTAGGAGAAAAATAATGTCTATAACACACCTCTGCTTTAGTTGTTGAAGAGTATTGCTTACAGACCCAAAGACATTTAGGCTTCTGGTGCTGCCATGACAGTACAGGGCTGCAGTGCTGCCCAGGCTTAGGGGGCACATAAGGCTGGTGGGGAACAAAGCCAGGACAACTGATCTAAATTGGTCATAGGGATATTCCATACCACATGATGTGGTGATGATGCTGAACAATAAAACCAGGGGATCTGGATGGGAGGAGATTGCTACCTGGGGGCTGGCTGGGCATCGGTCAGTGGTTAGCAGGAAATTCCGTTGTGCACCACTTGTTTTTTAAATTCATCTCTCTATAAAGAAAGATAATTATAATCATTATTATTTTTCTCCTTCTTTTCTTTCCTGGTAAATGGTTTGTATTTCAATCCATGAGTTCTACCTTTTATTTATTTATTTATTTATTTATTTTTGATTCTCATCTCACTGGGAGCACGGAGTGAGTGAATGGCTGTCTGCGTGATGCTGAGTTGACTGCTGGGTTAAACCACAACAGTTCTACATTTGGATTCAGTAGATATCTGTATAATACACAGTCTTTCTCTGATAGCTGCAATGGATAAAGCAAATTTGGGTGTGTTTCTCCTGACTTTATCCAGTTGAGACCTTTCAGTTAGCAGCTCAATTTTCAGGCAACAACCTGATCCATCAGCAAATAAATCTCTCTAGGAATGTTTTCTGCATGTTGAATAAAAAAAAATCAAGTCAGTGCATGATTAACTAGTCCTCAGTTAGGCAATGGTAGCATAAATAAATAAATAAACAAATTAATCTATTGTGGGTCAAATGTGGATGATGGCTTTTTCATTATAAGTATTTGGTGTGTGTAAGTTTTTTCACTGTAAGGAGCTCAAGTAGCAAAGCATCAAGTGAGAATATATGAGTGTCATGTAAAAGGAAGAAGACAGGACTGTAGTCCTCATGCTATTAACCCTAGTTGCAATACACCAAAGAAGCCAAGAGTGTGGTTCAATTATTTGTTGGACCATTACTCTACAAACTTCTTTTTTTTTTTATTTCTGTGGCTTTGTTACTAGTTCCTTGACAAAGTGAGTACTAAGCCCATTTTTTTTTCCTTTCTATTCTCCTGTCATATCCTGGCATTCGGTTTTATCACTAGGTACACCTCGTGGAACAAGTTCATAGAGATGCACAGATGCATGATAAGGAGGCAGTACAACACATAAAACTAAATCACATTTCCTAAGCTGATGAATAGATTCTCTTTGTACTCTTTGTGAAAAGCTTCTAATCAGGCTTATTGCAATATCATGATCTTGCTGGCATTCTGAAAAGGAAGTGTGCTTCGCTTCACTGACATGCTTGTAGATATGTAAGAAAGAGCCAGAAAAAGAAGCTTGTAAGCATGAGCATGATACTGAAACAAACTAACAGCAGACTGTAAGAAAGAAGAACTAAAAAAAATCCTTCATATTGTTATTAGAAGAGCAGCATAGAAAAATAAGTAGTGATTCAGATAGAAATAAAAATAAAAGACAGTTGAGAATGAATGGTGAAAAAATGAGAATAGAGCACCTTTGTGTAAGCTAGCAAAGAAAAGAAGAAAGTTTAAAGAGCAAGTGGAGGAAAATATGTGATTTTTTGTTAGAAATGGAGAGATTGTTGCACTTGTGTAGGGGGAGAGTGGGCAATGCTTCTAGGCATTTGTTAAGCATTCAATAGGGATGATTAGCTAGTGTAAACTGATAGAGTGATATTAAAACAATGGAGAAATGCCAGTTCATAGCAGCTGAGGATCTACAGTTGGTTATCACAATACCCCTGACTGACTGGGGCAGATCCAGAATGTCTTATCCATCCTAGCAAAGCCTTCAGGATAATATTCTCTGTCAGACTTTCCATCCAGGATTCTTTTTCCTTTGTTTCCCTCTCAACTTGCAGCTCTGAAAGTAAATTCATTCCTGGCTGTCTGGAAGGAGGAAGAAAGAGGCAGGGTGCTCTCAGCCCTACATGGTGAGACTGGGGATTCAGACAGACCACCAAATTTCAACAACTGCCTCCTGCTGGGGTGCCTAAATAACAACTGCTAGATAGAGCACCTTAGGTTTTGGAAAACTGCTGCAGCAAAGAGTCAATGGATAAGGAGTGTATATACAAAGCTGATTGGGAATTTTTCTGCATTTAAAACCATGGATTTTTTTTTTTTTTTTAAATGAATGTATACCATCTTCAAAAAACCTTTTGTTGGGAAAGACTTTTCAGCTTCAGGACAGAATTTCTGATTGGAGCACATGCTAAGAATAGCAAATAGCTTGGGCTACGGGAGATCCAAATTCACTTCCACTCTCCAGTGGGTATTCAGTTATTTTTGCCAAGCAGAACAGCCCTAAAAGGAGACAATTCCCATCCCAAAGTAGTGAATAACCTGTAGGAAAAGGTTGTCCCTTGGGAAAGCAGAAGAGAAGGAGGTGAACTTGTTTTTCCTTATGATTTGGATTTGAACTGCTAATAACTGAACTAATTGGAAGTAGAGGAGATGGGGGAGGGAGAGATTTAACAATTTTTTGTGTGTGCGTGTCTTCTTTTTTCTTTTCTATAAACAAACAAACAAACAAACAAAAGCACCAACACATTGTTTGAGGAACAAAAGTGGAAATCATGAAGCTCTACAAGACAACAGAGCTATATCCATCGCTAGTCCTCACTACAGAATAGGCACTTGACTGCAAGTGTATCTGAAACCCTTCTGAAGGAGTTTTCACCAGCTGAGCCACCAATTAACAAGAATTCCAGCTTCCTGGAAGAAGTGAGTGGCCTTGGTTAACCAGACAGATTCAGAGCATCTCACAAATCTACAATAATCTTCAGTTATCTCCTCAGGTATAACAGGAGTCCCAACATCAGGCTGTCTGATTTAGGAACATTTTGCATTTTTTAAGCCCACTTATGCATTCAAGCTCCAAAATGAACTAAAAATTGAGTTTGCACTATGCCCTGTTATTTCTGCATAGGGAAAATCTGTCTGTAGATACCAGAGCATGAGAGCCACTGTTCACTCAGGTCTACACACAGTTCAGATAGATAGTATTGCAGACACAATTAAGTTAAGTGAATTTTCCCAATCAAGAGATTAAATCACTGGATGAAAAAAAATGGGCACACCACCATGAGCTCAGAGTTTGTCCTGGGAGAATGTGCTTTTTTCAGATAGTGAAAAACTTATTCACATCACCTGCAGCTCAGCCTTGGGTTCCCAGAATTTTTCCAGTTGTCCCAGTGAACACCATCGCAGATTAAATTTAGAAACACTGTGCCCTTACAAACAAATGGAAGCAAAAAGTTATCTTGGCCTTTTGTCTGAGCTTAACTGACAGCTCTCTGACTTCAGCACACTGGAATCTCTGCCTCAGATCTACAAGATAAGCTTTGCTGGGACCTATTTGTCTTCATTGAGCCCTGTATTACGAACTCTGATACCTTTCCTGTGACTGATAGTGGGAAAAAAACCCTATAGACTCCTGTCAGGCTCATTTTCTTAGGTCAGGTAGATGGATACCAGGTTGTCTGTGACGTGGAACTCTGATTTCAAAACTTTTTTTTTTTTAAACCTCTAAATAATGTTTGTTATTAGAAAGCAGTGATGTACTGCAGTGTTTGTCAGTAGGAATAACAGTAATGGGAATCCAAAGGCTGAGTTAGTGCTAGAGAGTGCAAAACAAATTATGGACAGAATATAGCTGCCTTGTTAAAGACAGCAGTTTTCAAGGACTGGATATAAAATAATGCATTAAAAAAACAGCACCAAAAAGCCAGGAGTCATGAATCAGGAGTGAACCGAGGATGCACAAACGTGTAACCAGCAATCCACTCTGTGTGTGTATGTATCTACGGATATGTATGTATAAGAATATATAAAGAATGCATACATATAGATTTATGTTGGATTATATATATATGATTTATATATAAAAAATTTAAAAGATTATACACAAGTAGAACTCATAAAGAAAGGATTCAGAGTCAGGAGAATTTACAGCAGGTACACAAAGAAAGGATTTATGTGGCTCATACAGAAAAAGAAAAATGTCAGTGGAGATCAAATCACTGAATCACAGAATCACCAAGATTGGAAAAGACCTCCAAGATCATCCAGGCCAACTGTCCACCTACCACCAGTATTTCCTTACTAAATCATGTCCCTCATTACAACACATAAACATTTCTTGGACACCTCCAGGGACAGTGACTCAGCCATCTCCCTGGGCAGCCAATTCCAGTGCCTCACCACTCTTTTAGAGAATAAAATTTTCCTAATATCCAACCCCAAATAGCTCTGATAATTATGATAACTAGATAACAACGGCATGATTGCTTGGGAGGACCATTTACAGTGCTTGTTACAACAAAGATATTACATGAAAGAAAAGAGTCTGCAAGGAAGCGAGGAGCCTCTGAAGAGAGATGATTAATTTGATTCTCTTTGACTGTCTGTTCTGTGTTTCTGGAATCCTTTGTCGTACTAAGCTGCTGAAGAGGTGGGTGATGGGTCAAGGAAGCTTTTCCATGGGACACTGCCTTTCTCAAAGACTGTCCAGCCATGCTGGTGGCACATTTTTAACCACAACTACAGCTGGCTTCTTTGGTACAGGAAGTCTGGTATGTTCACATGTCATTTACTGGCACTTCATCACTGCTATTAATCAGACAGAGATCTACCTTTTCAGATTACAGCACATTGTTATTTTCTGTCATTTTGACATATCCTAGGTATGCAGCATTTTCTTTAGCTATTATCACAAAGTATCTACTCCACTTAAAACTCTGAAATAACAATGTGTGCCTCCCTTTAAGCTATTTATAGTATTTCTGTTAACTTTGTCAGCTCACCTTTGCAAGAGCCAGTTTAGTAATGCAATTCAATTGATCAGGCTGAAGTACTCCTGACTTCCTATGGGCTTTGGGTGTCTCAAGGATACTCTTGTTAATCATCTGAAATCTATTGTTATTTTAGAATAGAAGAGATGCAAGTAAAGAATCCCCAAGATTATACTGAAGTAAATTGTGTTTTTTTCCTCGAATTCCATTCCAATTTGTTTCTGGTCAGTCACCAAAAAGTGTTTTATCTATAATTTTAAGTATTCCAGGGGATATAATAGAAAGGATTTACCAAGCATATCTTCAGTATTTTTTGTGCACCTGATGTTTAGATAAGTAGCTTTTTTTTTTCCTAGCTACATTTTCAAGCAATCTACATGATAATGATTAGTATTTGTCAGAGAAAATCTTCTTTCTTATACTCTTAGCCTTCTTTCTCCAAATGGAAATGATGCCAATTCTGAGTCAATACACTGTTTTGTACTTTCCCTGAAATGTTTGTTGCTGAAAACTAAGAGAAGAAATAGCACCTTCTACATGGAATGGAAATCAATAATCTGGAGCATGTTTGTTGTATAATCAAGGACCATTTCACAGGAAAACCTTTCTGTCAACACAGATAAGTTCTTGTCCCTGTTGTAAAATGCTTCCATTCCAAATATAGGAATATATCCCATCATCAGATTATCTGGGCATTTGTCACAAAAGAATGAGGTCAAAGAATTTGAATTTATGCTTTATAAAAAATATATTTTTGATAAATAAATTCCAAAAAAAGTATTATAAACTGTGGCATTTTTTGATTGCTAGAGATATTTTTCTTCCAAAAAATACAAATTACTCAGAATGGCACAAACAGGAAGACCAAAATAGTTTTCAGTGCCAGTAAAACTGCTGCTAAGACTTCCTGCAGCGTATTGGTGCCACCCACTGGAAAGTGATGAAATACTGCAGTAACAGTCTTACACGATATTGACATCACAAGAGTGTTTCTTCCCGTGCTGCTATTTTTCAGTCAGATTTAACTTTTATTCCTTTGTCAGTCATAGTTTTCAGTATTTCGTGCACGCAGCACAGCAATTACTTGAAACAAATTGTGAACAACCACAAGTTAGGGCAGGTAGAGAAAAGCTGGCTGAGGACTAAATAAGGAAGAGAGAATTGCTAATGTCATTTTATGTGTAGTATCTTGATCTTCAGATGTGGTTAAGTAAATATTCATTGCATTTTGTGAAGGATGCAAAAGGAGATTATGAACTGAATCTGAATCAGAATCTGACCATGTAAACTGGAGATAGAGAACTGATGGGGTTAATAACTTGGATAGGCTATGTGTCTGCATATTTACATTGCAGTATGTATATACAAATACACCATTAAATGCATTCTCTTTCAGCTTCTCAGAGCTATTGATTGAAAACTATTGTTAAGGAGAGTACAACTGTTCTGGACATATTATTACTTAAATACATTTGTCTGTATACTCATTCCAAATTGCACTTTCTGTCATGGCATAGACTGGAAAAGCCATAGCCTTTCTTTCTGGGTGTTTCAGAATTGTTTTTTAAAAAGGATAAATCAGATTTAGGTATTTCTTGCTATAGTACAGAGTTAAACCTATGCCTTTATTTCACACTTCACTGTAAAACAAAGCAGAGAATGCAGCAACTGCAGAAAGCAGTTTACAAGAAAAGAGCTAGCATTTGTTTTATTTATAGGAGTTATTAGCTTTACCTGAACTGAAGTGTGTTTCACATACACCTTGAAGTGTTTTTCCTTCTGCCTGTGAGTCAGAGTTTTTGTTGAGAGTTCTCATAATGCCTCAGACTCCCCTGGCACTCTCTCAGCAGGAATGAAATATCTCCATCGTGTGGTCGGCAGAGAAAAGCCAGAAAAATAAGCCTGGCTAGTGGTGTAGATGATGGGAGGGTACTGTCTTTCCCATGACTACACTGTCCCTTCAGCTGTGTGGTGGACAGGAATTCCCATCTCTCCTTCTGTAAATACTCATACGAGGAATTTCCATTTTGCCTATGAATATGACATAAGATGCAGAAACATCACTTCAAGTTGCCCAAGGAGGCTGTGGATGCCCCATCCCTGGAGGCATTCAAGGCCAGGCTGGATGTGATTCTGGGCAGCCTGGTCTGGTGGTTGGTGACCCTGCACATAGGAGGGGGGTTGAAACTAGATGAACATTGTGGTGCTTTTAAACCCGAGCCATTCTATGATTCTATGGTCATTTGCAAAAATCTTGAAGGCAAGATACCTATGAATAAAGCCCTATCTCATGGTATATGTACAGAACAATTAGTAAATTGTGATTTTCCCCTTTTTATTTTCTTTTGCTGAGCATGCAGGTACTGCAGCCCTCAAGTTAATTACAAAACAAAATCAACCATAAGGCAGAAATCTGTTCCCAAAATGGGAAAGTGGTAATCGTAAATAAATTGCTAATCAATTGCAAGCAAAAAAAGCTGACAAAATACCTTATTGTACTTGGCTTATCGTGCAAAGGAGATTAATTTTAATGAGTGTCTTGAATATCATTCTATCCTGTTTTAAGACATTCTAAGTGTTCTATTTTGTAGAAATACAACCAGTGGTCAGACTTGTACTTTTCTAATCAGCAGCAGATAGAAGAATCCAAGTGAAAATTATAAAACCCTCTTTCACCAGTCAGGGATAATTAAGGTAGAAAATAAAGAGAGATGTGACTCAGTATGTTGAGGACAACAATAATTCAAGGACTAAGTAATTCCAGGCTTTTTTTTTTTTTTTTTTTTTTTTTCTACCACCTTTTTCTGGACATCTCATAGATACAGCAGTATATGCAAATGCAACATTTTCTTGAAGCCTATGCTTTACTTTCATCCTGCCAATCTTCTTTTTGCTGTTCCTGATCATAGTCACTATACTTACTCTCTCTCCTTATCAATAACAAACTCTGAGCTGCTGAGCTGCTCTCTTCTGTGCTCCTCTGTCTATCAAGAGTCCTTTTAACAAAGAACTAAGAAGGGAATTTTCTCTTTAAAATGGTTTTATATTGTAGGCTTTGGATAGCTCTGTCTTAAATGAGACATACGGAGACAGCCATAGATACCACCACTTGTATGCCAAGATCTTCTCAATTCCTTCTGTCTGTGCGAGTGTGTTACACAGTCACATTGTTCTTTTATATCAGATTTATGACTTTCAAAGTCATCTGCAAGCAGATAACTGGCTGCTGCACCACACTCACATCAATGCCAGAATAGCAGCACATTGATGGAAATCCACTTTGCTTTTTTAGTGACAACATACTCCCTTCTGTAAAGCTAATGACAGTCTTCAGTCCAACATTGCCATTTTTTCAATGGGTACTGAAGAATGTCTTTCAGCTTGTTAGTTACCACAGACTACATGGAGTTGCTGTTTTGCTGTGCTGTATTTTACTACCAGGTAGATTCATGATTTTTGTTGTATTCCATTCTTTTCTTTTTTCAGAGACGCGCAGCTGACAATCTGAGAAGACATCATCAGTACCAGGTAAAGCTGCACGTTTATTTTTTTGGCAATTTTTTTTTTTTTTTTTTTTCTTGTGCCTCCGAAAGATCCTGTTGGGAGAGGAGAGATGTAATGCAAGGGAAGGATTTCTGAAAAAAAAAGTAGAAAACAGAAAAAGAAAAGAAACACAGAAAATCCATGTTTATTTCATTCTCAGTAAAAGAGTGTAGAATATTTGGTGTTGAAATAAAAGCATTAGAAAAGTAGTCTACTTTTGGGTTGAAAAAGGATAGTTTCCTAAAGAAATTCTAGACTAACTTGTAATCCACTTCAACATAGATTGCCATTAAAAAAGACACTCCCACCTCCCAGGGATCAACTGGGAACATACATGCATCTACCTGATATGCTCTATCAGTCAGCTCTTCATCTCTCCCTCTCCAGTTCTGCTCACCTATCGAGAGCTCCTTAATAATAGCTCTGCCTAGAGGGATTGATTGACTCCTGCCAAATGTTCTTCTCCATCCTTCTTGGTTCTGTCTCTTGATTTTTGGAGATTATTGTAGCATAAGGGATAATTTCAGATCTGTTTTCCATTTTTTGTTGTGTTTATGGGGTGCATATCCACCAAGATGTGGGTTGTACACTTGAAAATTTGGAAATGAATGGATTCCATATGGGAAATGACTATAAATCAGGACTTTCCAACCAGAAGAAATGACAGCTGTGGAGGGTACAGGAGTCTTTGAAATTATACAGAAGGTGAACACAGAGCAGCCATTTACCATCTATCCATAGACTGAACATCAGACACATAATAGGCTGAGTTAACAAGGCCTGTAGGCAGCACACTGAAGAAAGTGGTTATTCTCCTCCAGCCCACTCTTGTACAATTGTAACTAAGGCAGTGTGTCCTGTTTTGGGCCCCCTGCTACAAGAGAGATGTTTCAAACTGGAAGGAATCCAGCAAAGGGCCACTGAGATGGTTAGAGGGCTGACATAAAAGGAGAAGCTCAGATCTGTGTTTGTTCAGCATGAAGTAGGTTAAGGGGGATCTAATTGCTATCTCCAATAACACAGTGGGTGGCTAGAGAGAGAAGGGAGCCAGATTTTTCTTGGATGTGCACAGAAAAAGAACAGGAGTCAATGGACTCAAGTTTCCAGAAGGGAAATTCTGTAAGGAAAATCACTGTCACATTGAGGGTGGTAAAGAACTGGAAAAAAAAAAAAAAAAAAAAAAAAGCAGTACAGGGAGGCTGCAGCATCTCCATCCTGGGAGATATTCTGCACTTGGCTGGACCAAAGCAACCTTATATAACTGCAGAGATATCTCTACTTGTAGTCAGGGATATAGATTGGGATTCCTCCAGACATTTCTTCCAAATTAAACAATTTTAGAATTCTGAGAAGTAGAGGGAAATACTGGAAACTAACAGAGAACAGATTTTTTAAAAAAGGAGATTTAAAAACAAGGAGTTTCACTCTAGCTTTGCCTTGAAATTCATCAGTGAATTTGTGGATGCTGAAAGTTTACATGAGTTCAAAACACATAGGGAAAACCTGTCACAGGCCATTAAACCTAAGGCTAACATTTCTGATTCACAAGTCCCTGAATCTCAGACTGCAGAAGGCTTGAAAGAATACAGCTGGAAATGACACTACATGACTGTACTCCACTTGCACTCCTCATTAAGTATCAGCAACTGCTCATTGTAAGAGAGCAGGTTACCAGCATGAGATATGCAGTTGGTCAAACCCAGTGCAGCCATTCTTAGGATATTTAATATCACTGCTGAAAAACAGAGGGAAAAAAAATAACCATATTTGGTAATATATTATATATTTGGTAATAACCATTACCAGGTTTGTACTTTTTTTTTTTTTTTTTTTTCATATCCTAAAGCACAAAAAGTTGAGCAGACCCAGTGAGCATAGATTTAGTAACTACGAGCCAGAAAACTAACACAGTGTTTTATGTTTTTAGGAAGTTATGAGAAATCTGGTTAAGAGGTACGTTGCAGCAATGATTAGAGATGCCAAAACTGAGGAAGGGCTAACAGAAGAAAATTTTAAGGTATGTATTTCATTCTATGTTCATAGATATTTTAGAAGACTGTGAAGAACATTTTTCACAGTCCTCATCTGTACAATCACACGTATCTTCTGTGTGCTAATGGACCACACTCAGATAGTATTGCTATAGACTACAGCAACCACCCTTGCTTGCTGGAAAATAATCACTTTAATCATCTAGTTTGAGTTACAGGGTGAAGAGGGGGAAGAACTAAGGGCAAACCAAAGTGGGACTAAGTGTATGTAAAAAAAAAAGTTTGCTAATGTAACATGCAAATAGTTCCACCCAAGGAAATACAGATTACATGCAATTGAGTGCACTTGCACTTTTGTATACAGAACACATTTTGTATGGCTTAATAAATTCAACACTTAAATAAGGAGTCAAATATTAAAATCTGTTCAATCTGACAAGACTAAGTGAACAGGGTCGTACGCACCACAACTTTTACATAACTGTATTTTTAACATTAAATATTTTGTTACTATTAGTGCCTCAACCTTCAAATTTCCAAAATGATATTCATCTGCCTCAGCTTTGGCACGCAGAAGATACAGAAAGAGCCTGAGCTAGTTGCTCTCATATTCTCATCCAGAAAATGAAGAGATAGACACCTAGCAAAAGCAAGATGTCTTCTCCTAAGATAGGCCTTTAAGGGACAGAGATCAGAAGTTGCACTGGCAGGAAGCATCCTGCAGCGATTAGCTCTTTTCTTGGCTGCCAGCTACCCAACATCGAGGAGAAATGCACAAAAATCCTGCCTGCAGTTCCTGCATTTCACTCACAGAAAAGCTTGCACATATGTGTCAACCATCAGATCTTCATAGAAAAGCTGTTTAAGTACAGGCTAAATGAGCAGACAGTGTGGTGAATTAAAAACCAGCTTAATAGACAGACCAAGAGGGCAGGTGGTCGGTTGTGCAAAAGCTAGCTGGACACTAGTAATGAGCAGAGTACCCAGAGGCCAATACTAGGTCCAGTTCTATTTAACAATCTTCCTTAACAATCTGGATGCATCCTTGGTAAATTAATGGATAAGACAACCATGAGAGGGAATGACTGATTCACCAGAAAGCCATCTAGAGGGATCTGGACAGGCTGGAGAGATGGGCTGATAGGAACCTCATGGAGTTCAACAAGGAGAAGTACAGAATCTACACCTGGGGAAGAACAACTCCAGGTATCAAAACACACTGGAGGTGCACAGCTGGAAAACAGCTCTGTAGAAAAGGGCCTGGGGGTCCTTGTGTACACAAAGTGGAACACAAGCCAGCAATGTGCCCTTGCTGTTAGGAAGGCTAATGGTATTTTTTTTTGGCTGCATTAGGCAAAGTATGACCAGCAAGACAAGAGAGATGGTCCTTCCCCTCTATTCAGTGTTTGTGAGGCCATTCCTGGAGTGCTGTGTCCGGTTCTGGGACCCCCTTCTGCATCTCTTCTGTTAGGAGAGGCTGAGAGATTGAACTGTTCAGCCTGGAGAAGAGCAGGCTTGGAGGGATCTCAGTGTCCAGAAATACGTGAAGGGAGATTGCTCGAAGTATGCAGCCAGGCTCTGTCACTGGTATCTACTGCCAGGACAAGAAGCAATGGGCACAAACTGGAAAACAAGTTCTACCTAAACATCAGGAAGAACTTTTCTACTGTATGAATGACAGAGCTGCCTGGACATGGTCCTGGCTATTCTGCTCTGGGTGTCCCTGCTTGAGCAGAAGTTGGACCAGATGATTTCCAGAAGTTCCTTCCAGCCTAAACTGTTACATGATTCTGTATGCCTATTGCATGTGTGTATTGGGGATGGTGATAATATCTGATCCAAATGCCATTATAGTGTTGCAATAATGCAGTCCAGCAGATTAGCTGCAGGTGATAAAGTTGTCCTTGCTCCTTTCTCCACCACTGTCAGTGATCTCTAAACCAAGATACATTTCCTCTGAAGATTCCCCTGATAAAATTGCTGATCACTTTTTTTTTGCCTTAGTTAGAAGATCTGTTAAGCAGAATCTGCTAAGTAACTTGAACATCTCAGGTATTATCCAGATGACAAAGCTCATAATTGATCCATAGCATAAGCTTTTTATTTTTTTTTATTTATTAACGAAAGAGGAAAAATACTAGGTTTAATTCTCTGATCTTTCTGTCTGAGCTAATCCTCTGATCTTTCTTATTCATTTCTAGGAGTTAAAACAAGACATTTCCAGCTTCCGTTTTGAAGTCCTGGGTTTGCTAAAAGGAAGCAAGCTTTCTAATGTGCAGACTCCAAAAATGAATAAAGATGCTGCCTCTTTGTCAGAAACTGAAGAAAAGAATGAGAGTGAAGGAAACAAGAAAGGAAAGAAGAAGGCATTCAGCCTTTTTGATATTACAACAATGATTCACCCACGATCAGCCACAATTGCCTCTGAAGCACATAACGTAAGCAATGGCTCAGCAATGTTGGTGTCAGAGTCCATTAAGGAGAAACAGAAGCGTGTGAATTTTGTAACAGATATAAAAAATTTTGGGTTATTTCACAGACGATCAAAAACAAACTCTGTGGAGCAGAGTACAAATAAAATATACACTGTTTCTGAAGAAGTTTCCCGTCAACAGGCAGAAGAACAATGTGAGACAAATGATGAACTGGAAGAAGGAGAACTGACTATGAACTGTGAAGTAGACACCCAAAGTCCTGATGAAAAGTGCATGGTAGCTGAGTTGCAAAATGACAGCAACACTTTGGATTCACAGGATGAAGGAAGTATTTGTGCTTTAGAAGCAGAGAAAATGGAGTTACAGAACTCAGAATCATCCACACCACAGGATCAGCTGGACAAGGAATCAGACATTGGCACTAACTGTGATGGTAAACAGGAAACCATTGAGCAGGGTGACTATGTGATAACCAGGTTGTGATGCTTACAGGAAGAAGCATTTACAAATATATATATTTTGCATAGTGCTTTTGGGGGGGAATGTTTTAAGAACATATTAGCAAATGCAGAATTACACTTTATAGTACTCAACTGTGGCACATGATCTTGTAACACAGTAAATGAGAGAAAGATAATAAAGGGACCTTCTGTTTTGTAGCCTGCTTTAGCTTTCACAATTTGTTTTACATTTTTTAATAAATGGAAGCATCTTGTATTCTTGTACTGTTGCAATAACCCACAGAAACTTTTTAGCTATCTTTTTCAATTTCAACAAAAGCAATTTCTCTCATATGATAGTTGACTCCTACGATAAATATTTTTCTATGCAAATAAAAAGTAGCTTCAGAGACTTGTAAGCCTTTATTTAACTTTGTAGGTTCTTAAAAATTCTGGGCAACATAATAATCGTAAGTGGTTCCTGTCAACATATGTCATGTCAAGCTATTAGAATCATTTATTTAAATTGCTAGGAACTTGATTTGCTTCAAAATCTATAAAGAAACAAACTATAAAGTATATTCTTTTATTTATTGAAGGAATATGAATACCTGTACATTTTGAACAATCAGTCTATTTGATTATTTAATTACAGCTTCTCCCACTCAGCAAGAGATTTATTACCTTCCTGATGCCGCTGTTAGAAATACACAGGATTCGGAGACTGTAAAAATGTATCTTATAGCAAAAGAAATATTTGTGTCCTGCTAAAATTTGATGACGGATTACTTCCCAGGAATCCGTAGTCACATCAGCTACTGCTTCTTCAACCATTTATTTTTCCAAATGTGGACAACCTATGCACTTTAATGTTCTGCTGCTTATTAGCTTTTGCCTTCACGATACACTTGTATTTGCTGAGAGAAAGATATGTCAGGAATAAACAAGCAAACAGTGATCCCCTGAGTACTTTGAAAATATGGCAGTTTGCTGAGAAGTTTTTAAAGAAAAACCTTACGAAAGTTCCTTTGACAGCTTTTGACAGCTTCAGAGTTTGGGGGAACCTGATTGGAGGTTTTATAAAATTACTTAGACATTTAAATGTATAAAGAAAAAACCTAATAGTATTTTTCTTAATTGATAAGTGACTTCTTGTCTTAGTCAAAAACAATATTTTTAAAATTAAACAGTCTGTTGCTTTTTAATTAGTGACTAGTGTCCTACATTATTAAAAACTTAAATTTACAACTGACCTAAGAAGGAACACCCTTCAGCTTCCACACCATCCTTTGTCCATGGAGACATGAATATACCACAGCACTGTGGTCATTTCATTCTTAACATCTCTGTCCCTACTTTAATAGATTTTGTAGCTCATTTTTGCCTGTGGTAAGAAACCTGCAGGTGCATACAGTACACCTACATCCTATATTCCTAGAAACACAAATCGTGCAGAAAATGAGGACAAAACAAATGGTATCCATGACATGTTAACTACCATCTTGTAGGATATGACCTAAAGCCATACCATTCTGGACATAAACTGTCCTTTTACTGAACTGAGTTTTGAAAATCCTCTCATTGATATATATTTGGGTGAGTTTTTCCGCTCTGCTTTACTCACATACTACTTTCTATGAGCTCACATATTGCGAGCTTCCTTCCTGTACAAGCACCTGCGCCATGGCACCTAGGAGTGAATTCACTGAGCCAAAATGGAATAGTGGGGAAAAGGTCTGTATAGCTTTGCAACACTGTGTTCACACCACATTTGATTACTAAGTTATGGCTGATTTCCATCTTGGCATCTTGACTGCTCTGTGGACCCCTTCTCCTCATCTCTCCCCTTGTCCACCTTTAGATTGTGAGCTCCTCGGGGCAGGGCCAGAAGCTTTTCTGTTTGGAAAGCACCTGAATTATTACAAGCGTAACAAGAAATAAATAATAATAATGATGATGAAATAACTTCATATCATTTTTACTAGATCAACTCTTAGAGAGTTCTTTTTTCTACTGTAATGTTTGTGCTAAGAATGACGTAAAGTCAATGTGTCACATGTATCTTTTGTTATAAACTTCTCTATATCCCAGTTTTTCTCCATCACAGATTTCATAAAACATTCACAATGTATTTTATAAAGGCCAATACTGTCATTTGGGATATACAAGTTTGCCACTCCAGAGATGCTGGGTTGGTTTCCATTTTAGAAACTTTGCCTCCTTTCTTCTTTCTGTTGCAACACCTTGTCATACTGCCTGTTTGAGATGCAGTGATTGACTCAGCAGGTTGCCTGATCTTTTGCAGTCCAGCACAGCACAGAGAAGGGCACCCATGACAAGCTCTGATCTTTTGTTACCACTGACAAATAAAATGGTATGGTCAAGGGCAACCATAGCATAGGTTTCATTGTAAATGATTTCCATCATAAAGCATAAAAAATGCACTTGTTCTTTACTATGAGAGTGGTAAGGTACTGGAATGGGCTGCCCAGAGAGGTTGTGAATACCCCATCCCTGGAAGAGTTCAAGGCCAGGTTGCATGGAGCCCTGGGCAGCCTGGTCTAGTACTAAATGTGGAGGTTGGTGGCCCTGCCTGTGTCAGGGGGGTTGGAGATTCATGATCCTTGAGGTCCCTTCCAACCCGGGCTATTTTGTGATTCTGTGATTCCAGGTTCTTTGTTAACAGCAAATAATGGTGACTAGTTAAAAAATAAAGTAAAAGTATAACAAGATCTCAATACAGAAGATTTCTCTCAATGGGAATGTAGACACAAATAGTATGAGTGCAATGATATAAACTGGCATCTGCAATTTTACTACAGTCATGGCAGAATTTAAATTTATGAGTTGCTAACGTGGGACTACAATTTGTGCTCTTTTCTGTCATTAAGAATTACTTGTTCCCAGTAGACAAAGGCTTGAATGCATTTCCCTTTCTTATTACTTATCATTTTTAACACCTCAGAATCCCAACCACACTATCCTCTCACTAGACAAATCCAGAACAAATGAGCAGTCCTTCCACCAAGGACACATTCCTACCATTATTTTCAGTCCAGTCAAGATATTCCAGTCGGGGTATTTATAATCTGACCAGTATCATGATCAGAACAAGGAAATATCCACAGCTCTAAGAGCTTCCTTTACATGCTATCTTGCCATCTTAAGAGACTCCTTCAATGGTACAAAATATTTTTTCTTCCTATGCCTGTGAACTTCCCAATAAAGCAGAAGCATGGAAGAGTTAACATGAAATGTCAGCCATGGTCTGGGGCCTCACAATGCTCGTCTAAGTCTTGGAGTAGATATAAGGCAGAGCAAAGCAATAGCTGTACTGGTTGAAGCAAATGTCCACCCATTTCCAATAGGCACTGTGAAGTGATACAGTTTTTTCTAAGAAATTATCAGCAGAGACTGGGCAGGATGCTTAGCGTAGAGCCATGATATTGCATTGTGTAGCAAAAATTTAACTTTTTTTTTTTTTCTTTTACAACCAAATATTAAGGTATATCAAATAAAGTATACCTAAAATCATCATCTGTTCTATTTTTATGTGATTCTTAGGTGATCAGAGTTCTCTTTAGTCACAAATATGCACGTCATTCTGTAAAAATAGGTAAGAACATAGAATGTGTCCAAATTTGAAATGGCAGTGTTGGGTTTTTGTTTTTGGTTTTTTTTTCACTTCTTGTTTTTTGTCGCTTGTGGTTTTGTTTTTTGTTTTTTTTTTTACTTTGTGAATAGACAAAAAAGAAACAACAACAACAACAAAACCCTCCTCATTGAATGTTTCCAGGAGGACATTTGTACCAAGAGAAATCTGGAGGTGCACGGAGCAACATCCAAAATGCCACAGCAGAGACATTATTAAGCTTTGTAAAACAAAGCATGCTTTCTCCTTGAGCAAAGTGATGAGTTTTGAAAATAGTTGTCTCTGTAGCCTCCATTAGCATCAATATGGGAGGAATACACGCACACAAAAAAAAGCATACAAACTCCTAACAAAAAGTCTTCTGAAATATAGCTTAAGGTCGCAGAATCTTTCAATGAATTAGAAAACTGTCAACATTTTTGTACTAATATTAGGCTGTTCAGAATGTTCAGAAAGCATCTCTTTCTGAACATTCATACTTTTTTTGGTGAGGATGAAACCTCACCTGCATACCATATCTTCAAAAAGTGCAAAAGCTGCTTACATCTGCGTAGAATCCTAGAATAATTGAGGTTGGAAAAGCTCACTAAGATCATCTAGTCCAACCATCAACCCATTCCCACCATGCCCACTAACCCAAGTTAGAGTGTTCCCAAGTACCATACCTACATATTTCCTGAACACTTCCAGGAACAGTGAGTCTATCATTTCCCTGGCTGGGCAGTTTGTTCCAATGCCTCAAGGCCTCTTTGTAAGAATTTTTTCCTAATATCAAACCTGACCCTCCTCTGGCGCAACTTGAGGCATGTTTGTGCCACCAGGATAGCCAAGGAGGGCACTGCAGAGGTGAAAGCCATGTGTATGCATCAGAAGACTTGCACTGCAAGACCCTGTGAGCCAGATGCAAGTCACTATGCTACCTCTGCATTGTACAGACATCAAGACTGGTAGATGCCTTCCAGGGAGGAGCTGGTTTTAATCTTGTTTTCTCTGTCCAAAGATTGAGGACATTACAGTTTTGACTGGTGTGTGCCAAATATCCCGTGCATCCTGCTTACATGAATCTCTGGCACATGGTACTGATCTATCTAACTATCTAATTCAATAGATAGGTCAAGATTTCATACAAAAACCCACAATAATGTTCTTGATCTGAATTTTTCTGTGAATAAATAGTGTCTATTTTCCTGACAATACATATCTTTCTCTTAGCTATAATTATAGAGAAGTGTAAAAAGCAGTTCTATTATATGTGTCCCCCAACGTTCTTAAACAGAAGGTTTAAAACAAGAGTATCTTCCTTAACAGCATCTTTGAACCAATCATTCAGGAGGATAATTTTGCAAGTACATCCTTACATAAATACATTGTAGAGAAAAGACATAAAGAAAAAATTATATGCCCATCTCAGATTCTACTACGTATATATATGGACTGCAGGAGGAAATGGGATGTTATATATTCCCATTTCCTCTCTAAATCTCTGTAAGTAATCAGTAAAGGCAATGTAGGGAGAGTAGCAAGAGGCAGCATGAAATAGAAAGGTGAATCATAATGTTTAAAGATGGTAATAAGGCAATGCATTTTTGCATCCAGATCAAAGTAACTGTATTAAATATATATATATATATTTAATGGGAATTTAGTCATTCATGTTGGACAGTGATGCAACCTATCTTCACTTTAGTCTATTAAGAGAAAACAACAGCTTTAGTTGGGCAAACACACAACACACATAGAAGATCAGTACTAGGAATGGGAATGGTATTAAGCATAATTGTAAAATTAAATGTAATAAAAGCAATCTCGTACCTTTGTCTGAGGAGTAGAACTC